CCTCTGGCCTCCGCCCAATCTCTCTCTCTCTCTCTAGTACTACCTAGCTATGGCGCCCAACGCTGGAGACTACAGCTACCTACTGCGCCCAACGCTGAAAACTACAAGCTAACGCTACTACCACTACTCTGCAGCGCTCCCTCCATAGTGCTGCTCCCGAATCCTGAAGACTACAACTGCCTCTCTGCCTACCTGCGAAGTGCCTGGGAAGTCCTATGTACTACCTTGGCCTGCCTCTTGACTGCTGGAGGGCGAGTCAGGCCGAGGAGGCAGCTCTTGCCAATGCCGAAGTGTGCCAGGGGCTGGCGTGCAGCAGCCTGCTGAGGCTGGCGTGGGGAACAGGCTAATAATAGCCTGTTCCGAAACCCTGGTTCGGTGCCTGAGTTTCAGGGCCGGTCGTTCTGATGAACGACCGAAAATGGCCCTTCGTTTCAGGCTAAAAAGGCTGTTGCCATTTTTAGTCTGAAAGGACACAGGGATAGGCCCTGGAATTCAGGCTTTCGGGCTGAACCGACATGGGGCCTGTAAGCCCTGGATTTCAGGCTTTCGGCCTAAAATTCAGGCTTTCGGCCTGAAGTTCAGGCTTTCGGCCTGAAGGACGCAGGCCTGGAAAATGGCCTGCGTGTGCAGGCGCAGCATGTAATGCCCCCCCCTCCTTATGAAGTCAAGCCGGGGCGAGGGCGAAGCCGACGATCTGAAGGTGGAACCTGGACGCGGGTGCGGCGTGGAGCCGAAGAAACCGGCTTGCCTTGCATCTTGCGTTCGTAGCGTGTGAGAACATCTGGAGCTGTCGCTTGAAGTTCCGCACGGGTTAACCATCGGTCAGCTATGCAAAATGCACCAAATACTCAGTCGGCCTGGTGCCGTAGCGTAGCTGGGAGATGATGTCGCCGACCTCCTGAAAACCGTCCATAGAAGGTGGGTCTTGCGTACGTCTCCCGGGAAAGTCGTCATGTTCCGCTGGCGTGTAGAGAGCCAATTTGGAGCAATGAAAGACTGGGTAGACTGGCAAGTGGCCAGGCAGCTGAATCGTGAAGAAAGGTCCTTCGGGTGCGTCCCCAGCGGGCGCTACGATCGGCCTAGGCCCCATCCATTTCGGAAGGAGCTTGTGAGAGATGTCTTGTTCAAGGCTGAATTCCACTGCGGAAACCCAGACGAGGTCACCGGCGCGGAATGGACAAGGAAGACGCTGGCGATTGGCCTGCTGGCTCATGCGCTGTTGCGTCTTAGCCATCTGGTCGCGTGCCTTGACAAGAAGCTCTTGCATCCGACGAAAGAAAAGAAGATGGTCGTCGCTCTCGGCCGTGCGTGGAGTAATAGTGTCCAACGGTGACGTGACCGGCGAGCCGTGCTCGAACTCGAAGGGTGATATCCCAATAGCCGGGTGGATGGAAGAGTTGTAGGCCAACTCGACGTCCGACGGTCGCTCAACCCAGTCTTTCTGGTCGGGGCGGATGAGAGTGCGAAGAAGAACTTGTGCGGTCTGATGCGCCCTCTCCGTCTGGCCATCGGTCTGAGGGTGGTGAGCTGAACTGGGCTTGAGAGATGAGCCCCATCGCTTGATGAGCGCCAACCAAAAATCGGACATGAACCGAGTGTCGCAGTCGCAAACGATCTCCTTGGGGTAACCCTTGGTTCGAATCCAACCGGCGTAAAGAACCTCGACCAACTCCGGTGCCTTGGCATGATAGCGACAAGGCAAAAACATGGCGAACTTGGTGAGTCGGTAGACCACCGTAAGAATCCCATCCACTCCGGTCTTGTGCTTGGGGAACGGGCCGGTAATGTCCATGGCAATCGCTTCCCTTCGCCTCAACGGGACTGGCAATGGTCGTAACTCGCCGTACGGACGATGGTTGCGGGATTTGCAGCGT